TAATTTTAAATAGATCAATTAATTATTAATATTAAATATTTAAAATTTTATTAATTTTAAAATACTTTATATACTTACAATTTAAACTAATTTAAATAAATAATATAATATATAATATATAAGTTAGTAATATAAATAATTTATTTAAAAATAGTTATTTGCTAACTTTAAATTTTAATAGTTACTTGATTAAACTTAATTCTAAAAATTTTATAAAATAATTATTATTAAATTTAATTATATATTATTAATACTATATATCTTCATATATATATAATATTTAAAAAACTATAACTATAAGTATTCTCACTTCTTTAATAGTAATCAAAATTATATATAAGTATTATAATTAATTAAAATAATCCTATACCAATTTGCCAAGAATTATAAAGCAAAATGCAAATATTAAATTTTATCAAGTTAATATACTTTATAAAAAAAAAAAATAATCATAACTAGTGTTTTGATCTATAATCCAAGATCTGAATTGATTTTTAAATCTAGATAAATTCAGCTATCCAAATCAAAGATATTTACTCAGATTAGTCAAAGAGCTTAAATAATAGACCTAAAAATATGCTCTAAAATTAGCTTTAATATATAATTTGAAACAGATTCAATTTGAATTTAATATAATCTGAATAGTCTGTCAGAAATAGGATCAAAATACTAGTTATAACTATCTTTTTTTTATTACAATAAAGAACTTACTTAATCTGTTAAACTATTTTCCACTATTTAAAAATTGATCTTCAATCTATTGTTATAATTGTAAATTGGAAGAGCGATTATCAAGGTCTGGTTTAGCTCCAATAGTTAATGTGATATGAGTTATAATGTCTGATTACTAATAAATAGAGAAATAATAATAATAGGTTCTATAAACTATATATATATCGATCAGATGAAATGTCATTTCTATGTTAATGATCTGCAAATGTATTGTCTCCCAAATTTTGAGGCTATTGTATTTATATAAGAAAATCTGTATAGACATTTATATGAAATTTCTAATAAAAAATTATAATGATTATCAATTTGTTATTTCTCAAAAGTAACAAGGCTATATCTCACTAAATAAGTGGTAAGTTCCAAAGTTATACTTTATAATTATAAAACTTTTACGAATATAATTATACTAGAAGTTAGTTCATTATAAGCTGCAGAAAAATAAATTTTACTACGCATATTAAACAACTTAATTAATTTGAGAACTACAAAAATACAAGAACAATAATTTAGTTTTATTAACCTTAGTAGGGTGATATTGAGTTAATGATCTCCTATCAGATTTAATATTTCCTTGAATAAATCTATGTAAATATTCCTGAGGTTGAATTTTTACTAGATAGCTATTATTATTATTTTTACTAATTATTTTTTGTACATATTATTTTGAATTAGCTTTAATAAAAAATGAAGTTTTCTAGTCAAGATACTTGTGAAGTTGATATAATAAACTATATTAATATTTTAGACAGTACTTATTTGAATTCGGATCAAGAATATGCCTTACTTGATAATGAAAGTAATTGCAGTTTTACTGATCAATCCTTTGAAATACCCAGAATACCTACTACAGATAGTAGTAGAAATGAAAATATATATTCGGATATATTTAGTAATAAAGTAGTCTATGAATTGGTATTAGATTATTTTAAAACATTATCTAATAATAATGAAATACAAGATGATATTAATTGGTTATCTAGTGATTTAGATAAGTTAACAGATACCGAATCATCTTGTAGTTTTCCATTATCAGTAGAGGAAAATGAAGTAGATTATGAAATTAAAGAAAATGAACAATCTAATAATAATATCATTAGTCAATGTATAATTACAGAATTAGTAGATGATGAACTAAAACATTGTTCAAATGAAACTTCTAGGCCAATTAAACAAATGATGGGAATGTAGGAGTTAGATTATGAAAGTGTTAATGAAATGCTTAAAACAAATAATGAGCATTTTTTGAAATTATTGGGAGTATATAATAATCATTTCAACTTCGATCAAAATGGTTTACATCCACGTGGCTCAAAAGCTCTTGTATCTATTCAAAAAAGTTGGATTCACAAATAGCGTTGTCTTTTTTGTCATAAAGACAAATTTTTTTTTAGCTGAGGTGGAAAATGCACTTATCATAGTTGGAATGTTTTAAATAAAAATATACAAATTCTATGTCAGGGTATAAAAGTCTGTTCAGTCTTTAGTTGGAATAAATATATTACATAATTAACAAATGAAAAATCATCGCGTTATATTTGTTTTGTATGTTTTAATTCAGAGGGAGGACATTTTTTTCAGAGAAAAGGAAAAGGATTAAGTCCATTTTCATGTAAGGATTTACATTTTGATGATAGTTCTAAAACTCTTGAGCTTTTAGGGTATTGGATTTTAAATATTGCTACAACTTCAGACAAACTTTCGAAAGATATTCTTGCAGAAGAACTTTTTGAAGCATTTAATAACTTTTATTCAAAAAAAAACTTGCAAAAAATAAATCACATTCTGCCTCAACGAATCAATCTAATATAGAATTAAAGTTTAAACCTCCAAGCTATATGGCAATAAAAATTGCTATGCGATTAAAAAAATTCAATTATCAAGTCTTTTTGAGACAGGAAGTTATTTGAAAATTATTAAAGAAGAGCCAAAAAAACTCAGCGAAGCTTTAGGATGTGCAATTTGGAAAGCACGATCAGAAATTTGTAAAAATAAAGAAAAACTAGAAAATCTACAATCTTTAGATTTATATCGTAATAGATTTTCTGATTTTCTAAAAAAATTTGTAGATAGTTTATTAATTTATATACAACAAAAAAAATGAGCAGTAGTTCAAAAAAAAAGAAAACAATGACAGCATACATCAGAAGATTTTAACCCAGATCGAGCTATTAAAATTTCAACATTTATTATTTCGATTTTTCTTAATATCTCTTATCCAAGTGTAAATATTTAGTTCACTCACATTTTAAGCTCACTTGCATAAAAACCTAATTTACGATTCTCATTATATGCTATTTTGTATGAAGCAAATATTGTATCACATACTGCTTGCTATGAAAAATGGTTAGAAAAAATTAGACAAAATTCATATAATCCACAAACAAGATTACAAAAAGGAAATAATATTTGGAACGTTTGCGTAGTAGATAATATCGATTTTAAAGAAATTGGCTTTAGTTTTGATAATATATATAATGTTATATGAAAAACATCTCATGCAATATTAAGGATGGTTTTTCAATTCTTTTTACCCAAAACTTTACAAGAATTTACAATAGAAGCAACCAATAATAACAGGTTTCATGGATTTGAAGTCAGAATTTCCCTATTTGTAAAAAGTCAATTGTTAGAATTTGAAAAAATTTTTAACAATTTATTAGAAGTTAAAGAAAAAGATTTTGACTTTACTGATGTACTTAGAGAAATTAAAAAAAATATTAAAATTAATAATCAATTACCCAAGTCTAACTTAGTAATTCTTCAGTCAGGTGATCAACCTAATTCAAATAAAAGTGTACATGAATCAGTTTTAATATATCTACACGATATAGGATGGATGAGATAGGAAATTTAGATATTGTTGCTGTTGCGGCAATTTACACTCGATTACATTCACTTCGTGAAAATTATCTAGAGTTTCGCCTTTTACTTGGAGGATGGCATACTAATAAAGCAATATGTGCTACTCTTGTAGCAATTTTTTCAGGATATGGGATCTTCAAACTTGCTAGTATTCTTGGTGTTTGTTATTTTGACAAATTTGAACAGGTAGTTGACTATTAGGCAGCATCTAAAGTTTTAGAATTATTATAGATGGGTGTTGGTATTGCTATAAACAGATATGCAAAAAGTCAAAACAAAGACATTATTGAAATTTTACCACAAAATAATGTATTTCATGTTTGGCATCTATTTTTTATATAGGCATCATTTTGATTAGGTCATCGTTTAGGAATCCGCAATGGAAATCATGAAATGCAACTTGAAAATCTTGTTGCATTTGCACTATTATTTCCAATTGCAGGATGTTCAAATTATGCACAATCAGTAACTTATTATCTTTCTTATGTGCAAAATGATTCATTATTACAAACCATGCTAAAATATGCTCCATCCGTTAATTTAACCCAACTAAGTCATTATCTTGCATATGATGAAGCCTTGGAACGCTTTAGTGTAAAATTTGTCAAACAAAGTATAGGAAAAGTTTTTGGTGATAGTAATAATTTAAAAGAGCGAATTACAGCAACTCAAGTTGAAAGAGACTGATTAAATTTGTTATTAAATGAATATCTTGGTGATAACTTTTTTTTACCAACTGAAAGAAATATTAATTCCCAAAAAGATGTACTTTAGAAGCTTGCAGACTCACTTTATGAAGCATTCAGTTGCTCTAATCCATCTCAAAACGATCTGTTTCAAGATACTACTCAAAATACAACTAGTAGATTTCAAAAACTTTTTGAATGTTATGAAATAGGCAGGAATCGATTAATAACATTATATAAACAAGATATTGAAAAATCTGAATTATGTACAACAGTTGGGCAACGAATGCGAAATATAGTTATTAATAAATCTACAGAAAAAAAAGTCAAACCTGCTAAAAGAAAACATCTTAAAAAAAAGCAAAAATGTGATAATATTCAACCAGATAGTATATATACGCAAAATTATAGTTATGAGCAAGAATGTCACTTGCAATAACAATTATAAATTTAACAATTTGTAAGTAAATTTGTTTCAAAAAATTAATTACTTCTATATTTGAAACCTGTATAAAAATTGAATAGTTTTTTAATAGTTCTGGAAATTAAATGCGAATTATTGTTATTAAATATTTCAAGATATATAACTTACTTGTAATAGTATCAATAGATAATAATTAATAACGATAAGTATCATCTCATACCCTAAAAAGTACAATTTTACTGGTACCTCTTGTGGGCATTATTAAATTGCGAAAGCATTGAATTAATAGTGTGTTATCGTTAAAGTATTAATAATTATAAAGGTAAGTCTTTGTAATCGATTTCTAAAAGGGTTATTAGAAGCCAATAATTTTATTTTGTAACTGATGCTTTAAAAGTATAACTTTACAATAACTTAGATAATTCATATTTTCGGTGTTCCTTTTTCTATTATATTTATTCGTAACAAACATTTACAGTATTCATTTGATCTGACAAAATTATAACGCATTTAAATAATTTTTTTCTAATAATATAATGAAACTAAATTTTAAACACTACCTATTAAATATATAAAGCCAATTAATACCAAAAATTTATGTTGATAAAAGTAAACTAGATTCATCTTTTAAAAGAACCTTTACATGCCTTTATTACAAAGTGTTTTGGCCAAGAATAATATTTTAAAAATAAATTGGAACTTTTTGTTTGGTTCTCAATACGCATCGTAGCTCTTTTTAGATAATTATTTCAAGAGTATTTGATAAATAATTATGAATATATGGTCTTCGAAGTTCAGCATAAATTGTATACATACTGTACTAAAATAAAGTAAAATTGACAATCTTTAATATGTGTAATAAAACACTAATTTTTCTGCAGACCATGATGGATCAACTTATAGCGCACTTGTACTTATAAAATTTTTATAGTTGTAAACTATAAATTTAAAACTTACTATTTATTTAATTAGATATAACCTTTTTACTTTTAAAAAATAGAGAAAAGACGATTATTGAAATTTTTTACTATAAAATTTTGTAAGCTTTATAAGGATTTTCATTGTACGGACCAAATAGCATCCAATTTTAGGGGACATATCTGCTGATCGATATAGGTCATGTATTATATAAAGGTCGAATTGGTGATTTAAAGGATGATCGGAATAATTTAATAACTAATACTAAGGGGCGATGTTACTCATAATTGTATAACAATAAACTAATTACTTAAAAGTAATCTAAATGTTGATCACTATACTAGCAATAAACAATTGTAATATCCTATACTAATCTAAACAATTGATTTTAATTACAATACTACAGTATATCGTTACTCGTGATATCTAATCATACAATAATCTAAATAATATTATTACACATGATGTTACTTTCTATAAAACTCGTCAAGAATACGGCTCTTAGTTACTCAGTGAAAGGTCTATTCGGCCTCAATGCTTACTTCCTTTATGTTAATTAAGAGACCTAGCGTATTCTTTATTCAATAATTTAACAAACTTGATGAGGAATCAATTATTAATTATAGCAAAGTTAGGGAATATAATAATTAGTTAAGTTAAAAAATATTTGATTTAGAGTAAATAGTAGTTTATTTATTTTTAGTTAATCGATAACTGGTCCTTTCAGAAGAGCGAAGAGGACCCATATTTATACAAAATTCATTCTTTGGAGAAGACTATACTCATACTATTCTGTTTTCTTAATGCTAAGCTTATCCTTCTCACTAGTGAGCAGTTGTGGTTAAGCCTCATGTAGTACAAAGCCACACTGCTCACTTCAATGTTTATCATTTTACGAATTTGTAAATCTTTTAGCATTATGGCTTAAACAATCAGCTCGACTGCTCGCCCTAATGTTTACATTAGTCATTACCATGGTTCTTAAATGTAAACAAAGATATGAGCAGGACGAAAATGTAAATAATAACTATTTACAAGAAGGAGGAATAAATAAAATAAAACAAATAATAAAAGAAATTAACGGAATAATAATAAAGAAAATAGATAAAAATTAATAAAAATAAACATGATATGGGATGAGGCTACTAGCTTACAACCTAACACTATTAATTTGATACTTGAGAACACTCTATATTTAATCTTTTAAAAAAAACTACTATACTTACTATCTAACTAGTGAATCGTGAGAAAAAATTCGAAAGTTTTGAAATAAATTTTTATGAATTAAATATTTGAGGCTTTATTTTAAAATTCTCAAATATTGAATTCATGATAAACAATTCACTTGTTTGTTTAGTAACAACGCACAAAATCTATTCTAAAATACCAGAGATTCTGGTTAATTTCAAAAAATTCTGGCATGATTTTTTTGATAATCGGAAAGTTTCCGTTATTTAATACAGAAATAGACTTGATACGTATCTCTGGCTAGAGATTCTAAATTCCGTTTAATAGAAAGATCGTCAGAAAAAAAAAAAATGCAAGTTATATGTTACGATACAAATCTTAGCCACAAATAAATAACTCAAGAAAATTTTTTTTACAGTTTTCAAACCAAAGATTTTTAAATAATAATCGGTTATTATAAGTTTATTATTAAATAATATAAGCTTATTAGCTTAAATATTTGAGGTTTTATTTAAAAAAGCCTTGAACATTGAATTTTTAAATCTCAAATATGTACCCGGACATATAAATTAAATACAATTAACGTTTTGCCAGCCACAAAAAATACACATATCATGACAACATAAAAATTGTTTATTTACAAACTGTAGCTTAGCCTTTTCCTTTTCTTTTCGACTTGTGCTAGAGGTTCACCTTTCACAGGGAGTTTCGCCTTTCGCCATAGGTTTCGC